GGCTACAGGGGAAATCCCGGCCCTCCCCCCACACACAGGAGCTCCCCAGGACCCTCATCTCCTCCTACCCCTCTCAGAGACCCTCACCCCTCCAAAGAACCATCGGACACTCCCAAGCCAGCGACTCCACCCAGGTGTCCAGCCCAGCCCTCTCCCCCGAGCTGCATCCCTGCCTCCCGACACCTCCAGGTGAAGACCACAAACCCCTTCCCCTCAGCACATCCCGAGATGGACTCCTCTTCCCTCCACATTCCCCGCCCCCCTCAGTGTTCCTGTCTGTAAAGGCACCAACTTTCTCCTGGTCACCAGGTCCCATGTACTTTGTCATCTCCACCCCCTCCTTCTCCGTCCTTAACGTCTGGGCTCTGTTTCTGTGGCTCCCATCCCTCGCTCTCTGCAGCTGGAAGCCACTTCTCACCTGAAGCTCCAGAAATGCCTCCCTTTCCCGGTCCAGCACCCTCAATCTACCACCTCCCAATCCGCAATCCTAGAAGATCATCCTGATTGTACTGCCTACTGAACAAGGCCTTACCCCTCAGCCGGGCGCCCTGAGCCCACAGCCCCAGTCTCCACTCCCACTGTGGCCCATCCCCTGCTGTCACCTAGACACATCTCCCCAGCCACATTAACTGTGCCTGCCTCCATGCTTGTCCTCTGCCCTTCTTCTGCCCAGTGTGCTTGCACCATCCATCCCAATTAACCCATCTTTAAGGCCCAGGCGGCAGGTGAGACCTATGGATGCTGAGATTCTATCAATCAAATCTCACCTCCTCAAAAAAGTCTCTAGAGTCCTACAGAAATTCCAACCTATGCTTTCCTGTAACAATTGGTACACAAGATCACAACGACAACAATCATGTCAATGAATATTTATTGAGTGCATGCAGTGTGCCAGGTTCTGGGATAAGCACTTTACCTGTACTATCTCATCAGACTCTCCCACAGTTTCATGAGGCAGGGACGATTTTTTTTCTTTTTTCTTCATCTCCCCAAAGCCCCCCAGTACATAGTTATATATTCTAGCAGAGCCTCTGGCTGTGCTATGTGGGACACCGCCTCAGCATGGCCTCATGAGCAGTGCCACATCCGCACCCAGGATGTGAACGAGCGAAACCCTGGGCCGCTGGAAGCAGAGCACACAAACTTAACCACTCAGCGACAGGGCCGGCCCCAGCAAGGACAATTTTGTCTCCATTTTACAGATAAGGAAATGAAGTGTAGACGGGCCACTTAACCTGCCCAAGGACAGTGACACCATACTAGTCTCATCTACAGCTTCCTAAAGCTTGCCCTGAGCTTTAACTTCTCTGACATTTGTGTCTTGCTTCGCAGATTTTAATGGCTCCAGGGCAAGGAAGGGCTCTCCTGCCCTCCACTTCCCCTAAGCCCAGCTCTGTGCCTGCTATAAATATTTATTGGCCTGGCTTTATCTGAATAGCACCGCACTGAGTGGTTCTACTAAAACTCATGAGGTGGCAATGGGGACAAGACTTCAGGGCCGGGCATCGTGGCCATCAGCGCGGTTTTCTAGGTTATAACTTGAAACAGGGTGTTCTTGAATCTATGATGTACCCATTAAAACTTCTTGTAAGTAGATCATGTTGTAAAGATGACTTCTGGGAGGGGGCACTTTTCCAGCTCGGGTCTCATGGGGACAAGATGCAGCAAGAAAGCACTAGAGGCCACACCAGCAGGTGGTTGGACCAAGTCTGGTGTGACTGATGCCAAAACCGCTGCCACTAATGGCCCCAGTTCTCTCTTTTGGTGTTACCACCAGGGGGCACGTTGACTTAAACTGAGCCCTTGACCCTGGCAATAGGAGCCTAATTTATTTTCCTGTGTTCCTCAGCCAGACTTTCTGACACAGCTAGAAACCAAAACTCCCAAGTGCTGAAAAGCCAATTACCAAAGTCAGGACCTGACAGCCTGCCCCCTCCAGGAGGAAGCAGGTAGGAACCAGGCAGTGCCGGTGCCGGCCCTGGAGTGGTTAAGGCACCACTGCAGGGGTCTGAAACCCACCCAGGCAACTCTACCAGTCTTGTCTTGAGCTTTCTAAATCTTGTATTTATGAGATTTAACTTCCCTGATTTTTGTATCTTGCCTCTCAGATTGCAAATGGCTTCAGGAGTCCCAGATCGCAAAGGAAGAAAACCACTTTCCTTTCTTCGTTTGGTCTGTGTTAGTGTCACTGGATACCCACATGAGTCAGCCCCCGAGAAGGGCAGGGGTCCGCGAGAGAGGTCAGAATGCTCCAGAAGTGGATGGAGCTGGCATCTGATCTGGGGAGGGATCAGGCATCCACTCAGCGCCCAATGGCTGGAGCCCCGCTCTGCAGAGCTGTGACCCAGGGCAGGGACTGGAACAAGAGGGAGAAGTGGTTGGAAGCTCAGGGGTGTGGGCAGAGAAGGAGGCAGGACAGAAGAGGCCCAGCTGTGCCAGACGCCGGCGGCATGCACTTGGGCAGTAGCTTCTTCATCCACAAAACGGGCAAGATCACCAGCTCTACCTGCTTTATGGGCTTTTCTGGGGATTAATAAGGATGCTGGGGGTGAATGGGCTCTGGGAACTGGCGAAGCTCTAGGCTGGCATGAGGGGTTTTTGTTCTCGTCATTATTTCAGTCTGAGCCCACATCTGCTGACTGCTGAGCTGCATCCGGCCATTAGCTTGAGGTTGTGACTAATTGTTTTTTAATGGAGAAAACAAGATTTCCTTAATGTTTCATGAGTCACGTAAGTGAGTATCTCTATATCAAGAATATCTCATATTCAAAGATGTGGACTGTCCGTCTAATTGTGGCTGAAAAGAGGTCAGATGCAACTGACCCTCTCTCCTGAGGGTCTGCTGTGCACTTTGTGAACCCACAGGAGTGAGTAGGGGAATAAGAAGGTGTCTGCCCTCAAGGAGGTCAAGATGGATGGGGAGGAAGACCTGCACAGGCTCTCCAATGTCTACAGAGTGGGGCTCCCTGTAACAGGTACAAGCCAGGGGCCACGAGGCCGTGTTAACAGCAAACACTGAGCAGGGTCCTGGATGCCAGCTGCAATGTAATCCACTGGCAAATATGCCACCAGGGAGACCCTGTGCAGCGGGCGATGGCATCTGAGCTGGGCCTTGGACAAGGGGTAGGAAGCATTCCAATGGGCATCAGCCCAAGTGAAGATGCAGGAGGAGGACAGGGCAGAGAGCACCTACTAGGGACCCTTCCTCAAGGAGCTTTCAGTCCACCCGAGAAGAAAGAAAAATAGAGAACATGAAAGCCACATACACATTATGTGTATAGAGTCAAAGGCCAAAGGAAGGTGTGTGTGGTGGGGACAGGGGAACCAGCTGGAGGGATGGCCTTCACTCCTCTCTCCCCGTGCAGGTTCAGGCCCCACCATCTCTCACAGGCTATTTCCTAGTCTCCTCTAACCGGGCCCCTACCTCCTGTAACACTCATCTTCCAATCCAGAGTCCACACTGCCAGCTATACTCCTAAAGCCATGAAGCCCCATCCTCCACTCTGCTCCCTACAGGACGAAGTCCCAACCCCTCAGTCTGGCTTCCAAGATCCTTGAGAGTCCAGCCAACATTTCCAGCCACAACTCCTATGACCAAGTCACACCGGACAATTCATCATATCCTGGATGCGCCACTCACTTTAACGTAAATATATTTGCCTCTCCTGACCCTTCTGCCTAGAATGTTAAAGAAAGTGGCTCTGGGTTTTGAATCCTAGTGTTGTGATCTTAGGTAAGTTACTTAACCTTTTTGTGTCTCAGTTTCTTCATCTGAGAAATGAGGACAATAGGACCCACCTCCTAGAATCATTATGAAGACCAAAAGAGTTCAAACAAGTAGGGTTTAGATTAGCTCCTAGTACATAGTAGGTGCTCAAAAACTTTGGTGTTAGTATCAATGGATCGAAACTCTCCAAGATTAGTTCGAGGTCAGTTGCAGGAAGGATGAATTGCCCCTCCTTCTGTGCATGTGGGTAAATCTGTCATAGTGTTTGTTTCATTCCCTAGTGATGGGAATTCAACAACACATCACTGTACCTGACAGAACCCTCAGCTGCTAGTAGACGCTCAATAAATACCAAGACTCATCTGGGTCTCTGCTGGATGCAATTGAGACTTCTTAGGCACAGTCTCTAATGTGGCTGTAGCGGTCAGGAAGAACTAAGTTATGCTGTGGTAACAAAAAATCCCCAAATCTCAGCAGCTTCAAACATCAAAGGTTTGTTTCTCAGTCCCACTGTGTATCGCCCACTGCTTGGTGAGGGCTCTCCACCACGTTGCCCTCAGCTGGGACAGAGGCTGGCAGAGCCTCCATTTGCTGGGACACCACCTGCCACTTGCCGCAAAGGGGAGGGAATGTGGCAAGGCACACACGGGTTCCCAAAGGCTTCTGCCTAAAGTGAGATGCTTCTGTTCACATTTTACTGGCCCAAGAAAATCAGGTGGGGAAGTGCAAGCCTACTATGAGCTTGTAATATCGGGATGTTGGCAAATTGTCCTAATAGCCCAGCTCCTCTTCTAAAGATCATGCTGATCTCCAACACTTACTGGCACCTCCAGGGAATGAGAGCAGAAGGAGTGAGTGGTGTGTGACTTCAGGTTGGAAAATGAGGCGCTGGCAGCTGTACTCAACCCCCCTGCAGAGGCTCTAGGCCACGTGCAATAGAAACAGCAGTAGGACTGCTCGCTGACAAGCTTGGAGTGTGCAAGGCTCAGCCCTCAGATGTAGAGAGGACACGTGGAAAGGGGACAGAGAGTTCCAGCACCACGCTGGCACTGGGCTGGGCTGCCTGGGCTTGCCGGCCACCCACCCAGTTTCTAATCTGATATCTACAGACTCCATCTACAGCACCCTGAGAACATAAGACAGGCTCCCTCCCTGAAGTCAGAGGGCCGGTTCCTCCTGACAGACAGGACTGTTATCCTTCATCCTATCCCGAGGTGCCTTCTCTCTCACAAAGCCTTCTGCAGGGGCTCCAAAATGATGGTGTCTAGTCATCTGGCTGAGAGAAGAATTACACAACTTTCCTGAGTGATCTGCAGCCACTTGTCCTGGAAGAACCGTGGGGCAGGCGGGGCTTTTCCACAGGACAACCTACAAATGATACTCAGGGCTGCATCCAACCTCCCAAACCCAGCTCTGCAGCTGTGCCGCAACCTACAGTCTCCCAGAGCAGACTAAATCGTTAATTCTGAAAGAGTGAGCTTTAGTGTCTGAAATTCAATCAGCAAAGCCAGGCAGATGAATCTAAGAGCTTCAGACAATCACATAATTCATAAAGTGACATGCACAAAGAGACGACATGACTCCTTCCCAAATTCATAGTTGCCCGGGTGCCACAGAGTCAGGTCTGCCTGAGCCTGGGATGACCCTGGGAGTCTGCAAGTAGATGTGACAATGGTGGCCATTCCATGGTCATCTCTCCCAAAGACAGGAAGGCTTAAGATGCTCTGGAATCCCTACAGGGATGATGACAAATGGGATGTTTCCATGGGCCAGGAATACATGGTGGGCCAGCAAGGCCTACACCAAGAGAAAGAAGAGCTGGGGCCTGCAGGAGGTGTTCTCTCTGATTAAATTGGCCACCCGCTCTGACAGGAGCATACCCGGCTGCATCCCTTCCCTTGGAAGGCTTCCCAGGGGTGTGCAGGGGCGAAAACACTGCTGCACAGACATACTCCTGGAAAAGGGTCCTGCTGTTGCCTGGTCAGGCTCTTGGGAACAATGTGCTCAATGTGGGGTTCACACAGCATCTCTCCCCCTTCCTGGTCATGCCATCGGCCTGTTCTTCCCTGTTCCATGTCTTCAAGCCAGTTGTGTCGTGCGGATCTGGGGCAGATGCAGTGCAGCAGGCTCTCCTTGGGAGAAAGTACATGGTGAGCCCAGCACAGACCCCTGCATCTTCATCTCAGCCAGGCAGCTTCACTGTCCTTGGGCCACCCCGTGCCCTAACAAGATTGGGATTGGGGCCTCAGAGTGACATGGTAAAATCCAGTAGGGAATGACTTTTCCAATAGTGCATGTGACCCAAGTCTGGGCTTCATGTCCCTAAAACAATCAATCCAAAAGCTGGACATGGGGTGGAGGGTGGGTCTTCTTTTCTTACTTGGAGCCCGTAGCACCAGACTTTTTGGTATCGGAAGTCCACATTTATTTTATCTTTGTCTACAGGTGAATCACAAGTGAGCCTACTGGCCAGGATGCTGGGCTACTGTTCTTTTTCTTTCTCTTTCTTTTTTCCACATTTACATCTGCAGCCAGCTCCCAGGTGAGTCTCTTTCAGAAGGTACTGATTTGGGATCTCGTTGATGACTCCTGATTGATGGCTTCTGGATGCATTATTAGAGTGTGCCCTGAAGGTAGGTTCTTGGTCAAGATGGTGCCCTGAGAACAGGCACTGCTTAAAAGCTGTCCACACAGCTGTCCAGAAAAAGAATGACGCCAAGATCATGTCAGGAATGTTAATTAGATAAAATTTGCAACAGTCCTTTGGCCAAAGACTGTGCTGACTAAGACTCCTTCTGGTTGAGGTTTCTCTGGAGCATGACAAGAGCTGCCCCCACAGCTGCATCCACATCCTGCCCAAAGGACACTGGGAAAGGGAAAGCCCTCTGCACCTCCTGCTTCAGCACTTCGTTCCTGGACAGCGCACTGCCACTGCCAATCACCCTCTCCACGCCCCACTCTTTGAGCTGCTGAAACGGAAGCATCGAGTGCAGGTTCTGAACGATGCCTCTGCACAGGGCCCGGCTGACATGCCCCAGGGAGAGGTCGGAGGAGGAGATTCTGGTCACTGAGGCCAGCTGGTCCGGCAGGTGCCTCTCTCCCAACACTGTGGGAGTGATGGTTAGGCAGGTGTCTGTCTGCTGTGCAGCTGCCTGGATCATGCGTGAATACACAGTGGATTCTTCAACCTCCAGGCCTGCCAGAAACAGGGAAGACCTGTGTGAGTTCATGCACACCCTCGCTGCAGGCTGAGGCAGTAAAGAACTCCCAGGGGGCGGAACAGGTCTACTTGCTGCCTCTCCTCACTGTGGCTGGCTGCTTCCCAGCTCAGGAACACACAGTCTGGCTAGCTAAGCTCTGGCCCAGATCCCAGCCAGCTCTCTCACTGCAGACCCCAACCCAGACCTCAGGGAGAGATCTCGTAAGTGTTGCTGTGAGCCCTCACCACCCCACAGCTATGGGACCCTTGATCCCAAGGGGACCAAATGCATACTCTTATCAATAAGCATCACCATGGCTGCTACTAGACTTATTAGCAGTGTCAGAAATTCCAGGATCACACTCTAGCCCATACCTCAGTAGAGGCAGAGAACCACGAGTGTAGATCAGAGCTCCTCACATTTGAATGTGCACATAAATCACTTAGGGATCTTATTAAAATGCAGCCTCTGACTCACTGTGCCTCGGGTGGGCCCTGAGGTTCTGCATTTGTTATCAGCTCCCAGAGGGAGCCAGTGCTGCTGGCCTGAGGACCAGGCTTTTTGAGTAGAAGGTTCTAGACCAGTGCTTACCAACACTTGTGGACACCAGAATCATCTGAGGAACTTTCATAAAATGCCATGCCCAGGCCCCACCCCCAGGCCAAATAATCAGCATTTCTGCGGGCGGGACTAGGACATCAACGTTATTCTAAAAACTCCACAAGTACTTCCAGTGTGCAGCCAGTGCTGAGAATCACCAACCTAGAGTCACCGAGGGGTCTCATCGCAGCACATTTAACTCAGACCAACTCCACTATACACGCTCAGGAATGAGCGAGAGAGAAATAATTTAAATATCATAGCCAAAAATTTGATCAGCAGAACTCTAGTTAATTATAGCAGAACGAATATGTGACTTTCATCTCCCTCTAGAAATTCTACTAAAATATCAGAAAAACCGTGCACTTGGTGAATAACCTATACATGTGTATTTATAAGTATATAAATCCGTAGGACTGCGTCCTTGGAGGGAACTGCTGGATCAAAAGACATGCACATCCTATTCCCTCCTATTCCCACACAATGCATGAGAGTGACTGCCTCTCCTCATCCTAGAAAGCAGAGTGTTAGAAACTTATCAAAGAACAGATATAGAACGTAAAACCATCAAACTAATGGGAAAAAAGGGAAAGGAGATAAGACAGAAAAAGCAGATCAATCCAAGAGAAGGCAGAGAGACTAAGGAGATATGATGACTAAACGCAATGTGGCATCCTGGATTGGATGCTGGAAGAGGAAAAGGACATTAGTGGAAAAACTATTAAAATCCAAATGAAGCCTATAGTTAAAAAAAAAATAACATGCTTGTATTTCCTTAATAAAAATTCAAAAAAAATTCTAAGGAAATGTTAAAATAAAGTGTTCTTCCTCACTGGGAAACACTTGGGCCATGACCCAGCCCTAGGAGCTCCTCAAGGAAGGTGTCTACCAGCTGGAGGCTGGACAGACTTGGCTTCCAGCCCTGTCTCTGCGTCCGTCAGTTGGCTCACCACCTCATCTGAATCTATGTGGGGATTAAATGCTACAAGTCGCCAAATGTCCACACCATGGGCTTAGAATCACAGAACATTAGACCTGGGAAAACCTAGAAGGGAAGGGACTTGCCAAGGCCACATAATGCCCTGGGGACCAAGCTGGGAACCGAGGCCACTCTCCCGGGTTGCACCACCACACTATGCTTATTTGACAAGCATTTATGTCACACTTACCACGGGTCAGACGCCGTTCTAAGTGCTTTGCAATATTACCTCACTTAATCCTCAAGATGCTTTGAGGTAGGTACTAGGATGATCCCCATTTTCAGATATGGAAAGTGAAGCACAGAAGGGTTAAGTAACCTGCCCAAAGGCACACAGGAAGTGGCAGAGCTGGGATTCAAACCCAGGCCAGCCAGCTCCAGAGTGCCTGCTCTAAACTACCTCAGGAAAGTGGAACTCCCTGTTTTCCAAACCTGGAAGATAAAACAAACCTAGGGTATTCTGAATAAATAGAGTGAGAGTTTTATTTTTGTATGTTATGCTTTAATATTTCCATTCTGGCTAATAAATGTGATGTCGTTTACCTGAATAAATTTTATTGTATTTGCAACTATATATTTTTTCAATCAAATGACATAATTGTAGAAATTTCATAAAAGGTTTAGTTACACAAAATACTAACCTTCAAAACACTCTCTATTTCATCAAAATAAGAACCACGCAAATGGAAAAGATTCTTCTTTTTGAGAGGATCTTACAGAGAAATTAAATATTACCACCTCTTTCAGGGGTAAGACAAATAGTCACTTCTGTATAAAGAGAATCACCAGTCTACTCAGTTAGCAATTGACAGACTGAGCCCAGTTAGACCAGTATCTAGAGAAAGGGCTTGCCTGAAGGTTCTGATGGCTGGTTCTGCATCTTGAAAACTTTTCCTGATGCAAGGCAAAACTAATCAAAGTTCTGTTCTTTAAACGAAGCAGTCCTGAGGGGACCCAAGCCCAGGGCACAGAACACCCCTGCAATCCTGATGTCCGCAGCCAGCCTGAAAGGTCCCATATGGGTGAGCAACACCTCTCTGCACAACCAGCATGAGCTTGCCAACGGCCTCCTGAAGCCTGCGCCTCCCCTTGTTACTATGTTCAACGTTTCCTGCAATGACCTGATTTTGAGCTCCTACAGGTGACCAATGCATCTGGGGAAGATGATTTCCCTAGACCTGGACAGTGGACCAGAAATTTCATTTCTACCTTAAGTGCTGGGGAAGAACCCTCTCCTGGAAGAAGGAGGTCACATGTTTCCCTGTAAATGCGGGGCAGAGGAAGCCTGCTCAGTTCTACCCAGAAGAGAGCAGGAAGGCATCAGAGTTTCCAGCGACCCACCAAGAAAGGGAGTCAGGAACACCTCGCCAGGAATAAGCGCTCAGAGCATTTTACAATACTGTAAAATACTGGGAGTCTTTTCACTCGCTCATGTCTGATCACTGTATTTTCAGCTGTCAGTAGTCCTCAGAAGGAAAATCTCGAATGCAAGGGACCCAGGGGCTCACTGACAGAGAAAGTGACACAGGGGGCAAGGGCGAGCTGGGGGACTACTATGATACTCCACAGCCAAGGTTGGGGGAGAAAGCGCCCCCTCTGAACAGAAAGTAGGTGATAGCGGTTCAGAAGATGAGAGGAAAGAAAGCTACAAGCTCAGATCTAAGGAAGGAAGGAATGTGCTGGAACCTGGCTGGGTCTGAGACATGAATCTAGAAGCCTAAATAGCACATTCAGCACCAAGACACTGCCACATAGAAAGGACAAGTGGGGAACACACCGCTCTGTGGGCCACACCTTACCTAGATCCGCCATCCACTGGACCAGCATGTGGACAAACGTGGTCAGCACATTGCCCCCATTGAGTGACGCTGCCACTGCCAGGTAAGTCCTGTTGAAGTACGGGAAGTAGGCGACTGGAGCTGCAGGGTCTGGGGTCTGCGCGGGCTGGAACCCTGAAGGCATGGAGGCTGCCAGCTGAATCGAGGTGCTGATGTTGAGAACTGGGGTCCAAGGAAGCAGAGGTTAGGCCTGTCAGGCTAACTCGGAGGTCACAAGTCACAACAGTGCAGGGGGAGAGTATGACGGTTCTGAAAGTATGTCTAGAAATTCTTTGATGCTCCTCCTTTCAGGAGGCAGAGCCTAATTCCCCTCACCCTGAGTATGGGCTGGACTCAGTGACTTGCTTCTAAGAGGATAAAGCAGAAGCATCAGTGTGTGACTCTGGAGACCGGGTGATAAAGAGGCGCTGCTGCTGCTGTCTTGGATCACTTGCTCTGGGGGAAGGCAGGTGCCACATCATGAGCGGCCCGATGGAGAGGCCCACGTGGCAAGGAACTGAGGCCTCCTGCCAAGAGCCACACAAGTGAGCTGAGAATTGTATCCTCCAGGCCTGGTCAAGCCTTCGGATGACAACACTCCCAGCCTGACTGCAAGCTCAGGAGGGACCTCGAGCCAGACCATCCAGTCACACCCAGATTCCTGACTCTCAGAAACTGTGTGAGATAATAAACGTTTGCTGTTTTAGGCTACCAAGTATTAAGGTAATTCATTACACAGCAATAGACAATGATTTACAGAGTAAGACTTCAGCCCAAGCGTTTTATTTTCTGGGGAGGTTTCACTCCTTTTCGGCAAGCATCACTTCCTTCTCGTTTCCAAGGTGCTCCCTTCACCTCCCCCCACCAGCAGGGCAAAGCTCCCAGACCCAGGAGAGGCGATGATTTTCTCCTCTGGATCAAGGCCAGGACTGTTCCAGGGGTCTTTTCTCCTCCTTTTCTCACGAGACCTGGCCAAAAAGCCTGTTCTTCTCAGTCTGTTGAGGGCCAAACTAACGGAGATCAGCATTCAACCTTCTCACCTCCCGGGGGGTCAGAAGCAAGGAGAGCAAAAACATGTCTCAGAAAGCCAACGATCTTTACTTTCTGCCACACCAAGTTTTTCACCATGACTATAAACCAGAAGCGACATACCTTCCACTCATCCCCTTGAGTGGAGATGCCCAAGATGGGGACCGACCAGCTTTGACCACAGACATGGCACTACTGAGCACAGGCCAGCAGCCCCAATCTGGAACCAGAGACTATCACCAGCTCAGAGAAGAGGGAGCCTAAATCTTAGCTCCTTCCCATTTGACTAGCCCCTCACTCGCCATACAGAAAGCACATTTACATCCAGGTACAGGACAGCTCTCTGGGCAGGGGAACAGCCTAAGATTTGAAAACCACCGAGTAGGAGGAAAGAACCAAGCTCTTTACAGGCACCATCCCAACTGCGCCATGAGAAAGGCATCATCACCCTCATTTTGGATGATGACAAGGGCTCAGGAAGAAATGCAGCCTGCCCAAGGTCACAGCGGAATAAGCAGAGGGGCTGAAATTCCAACCCAGGCCCGCAGGCTGGACTCCAAAGCCCAGTGAGTTCCCTGACGTTCATGCTTTGACATGAGGGGACATAAGGCAAGAGACGGGGCACTGGGGAAATTAAGTCACAGAAAAAACTTAGTATATTTGCCTGGGGCATTGATTTTAGTTGAAAATTTGGGAGAAGATTTTGAACTTTCTTGGCCCTAAAAGATTTTATCAGATATATATGCAAACAGGATTGGCAGAATTTCACCTTTTCCTCTCAGCTAATCTTGCATTAAGAGGAATTGCTACCAAAAACAAAACAAAAACAGTCGCTTGAAATTTTATTGTTTAAGAATGTAATGAAATAGGAATAAACTAGTATACAGAGGAGAGTGCTAGTTGGAATTTTTAAAATCAGGGTTGAATTGTAGTAGTTCCAACTGATGGAGGGAAAAAAGATGTGCTGACAAAGAGAAGCTGGGTAAGATGAAGGAATTCTCTGTTTCCCTTGATAACAAGGCGGGGCTCCCAAAATAGACTCGCTCAGCCAGGCTGCCACGAGGATCAGATGAAACACACATCCTGCAACCACCCTGCTCAGGCAGGCGGGCCCAAATCCTACCCTACCCCAGGGATGGGCAAATGACAGCCCACTGGCATATCCAGCCCGCCATCTGTTTTTGTAAGGCCTAGGAGCTAAGAACAGCTTTTATATATTTTTTTTAAAGATTTTATTTTTCCTTTTTCTCCCCAAAGCCCCCTGGAACATAGTTGTATATTTTTAGTTGTGGGTCCCTCCCACAACTTTAGTTGTGGCATGTGGGATGCCGCCTCAGCATGGCTTGTTGAGGGGTGCCATGTCCGCGCCCAGGATCCGAACCGGCGAAACCCTGGGCCACCAAAGTGGAGCACACGAACTTAACCACTCGGCCACGGGGCCGGCCCCTACATTTTTTTTAATAATAACTTTATTGAGACATAATTAAAATAAATTCACCATAAAACGCACTATTTTAAAGTGTACAATTCAGTGGTTTTCAGTATATTCACAGAGTTGTAAAACCATCACCACCGTGTAATTTTAGAACATCTCCGTCACTCCAAAAAGAAACCCTGTACCCACTAGCAATCACCCCCCACACCAGCCCCAGGCAACCATGCATCTACTCTCTGTCTTAGGGATTTGCCTGCTCTGGACATCTCACAGGAATGGAACCATACGCTATGTGGCCTTTTGTGATGAGCTTCTATCATTTCTTTCACTTTCACTCACATGTTGTGGCATTTCAGGCGTGGGGATATAACCCATTTTTTAATCCATTTATCAGTTGATGGGCATTTTGGTTGTTTCTACCTTTTGGCTGTTACGAATAATGCTGCCAGGAACATTTGTGCACAAGTTTTTGTGTGGACATGTGGCTTCTCTTGGGTGTCTATCTAGGAGTGGGATTGCCAGGTCACAGGTAACTCCATGCTTAACTTTTGAGGAGCTACCAGACTCTTTTCCAAAGGGGCTGCACCATTTTACAATCCTAGTAGCATGTTCTTACATTTTCAAATTGAAAAGAAATCAAAAGGAGAAGAATATTTCACAACACATGAATATTATATGAAATTCACATTTCGGTGTCTAAATAAAGTTTTATTAGAACACAGCTGTGCCCATTCATTTATGTATTAGCTATGGCTGCTTTCAAGCTCCAACAGCAGAGGTAAGTAGTTATCACAGAAATTATATGGCCCACAAGGCCTTAAAACATTTACTATCTGGCTCTCTACAGAAAAAGTTTGCCAACATCTGCCCTAGACTCCTGCCTCCACCTCACTGTGACTCTTACACCAAATACAGAAAAGACTCTGCACTTCTACTCAGATCAGACAGAACTTTCATTGACAAACATGCAATAAACAAAAACCCTAATCTACTCATCTATTTTCTTGGTCATGAAATGACACAGAAACCAGCCAACCAGAGAGAGGCATTCCTCACCTGGCCCTAGAGAGGAAAGGCACAGACTGGGGTCTGGGACAGGACTTGCCCTGCGGGATTGTAAGCTCCCTGAGCAGGGGCTTCGGCTGTAGGGACGAGGGTGTTTTTCCTGTTCACAGAATAACGAGCAGCAGGATGCTGAGGCTGCTGGTCATGTGTGCCCCTCCGACCCTCGCGCAGAGCTGGGGCTCAGGAGGCAGCAACAGAAGTGTGAGGAGGGAACAAAAGACTCACCTGCATCTGTCCTTCGGGCCATACAGGAATAGACGGAGGCCTGTAAATCACCCAAGGCCACACCCACCTGCGTCCCCTTTGGGATTTCAAACCAGGCCCGGGAAGTTCGGCCTGCCACGCTGCCCGGCTCGGCAACATCTGGGAGCAGGTGGACAGGAAAGCCCGAGGCCCTCAGTCTGCAAACCAAAAGAGGACAGAGTATTTACCTGGTGCTTGGCCTTCCATTTCTGGTTGTTTCCAGGAAACTCAACAAACAAAAGCGCTCGAAGATGCACATACGAGAAGGGAGAGTAGAACAGTGTTTTCACAGAGGACCTCTCTGGCTTCTTTAAAACCATGAGAAATAGGGTTGGGTTTTTTAAAGAATGAACACTGGCTTTCAAAAGTTTGCAATTGGCCTTCCAGGGAAGAAAACAACCAGTTTAAGCAGGAGTGATCGGGCAGGATTAGATAAGAGCCAGGTATCATGGCATCGGCCTCTTGATTTGAAGGGAACACAAACCCTCTGCCGAGGGAGGCAGTTGGAGTGCAAAGTCCCAGTTGGTTAGCACAGGCCAAACCAAAGTCAATCCTGAGTCTAAATGCATTCATCACTCGGGGTTAGTGAACATGGGGCTGTCAATCGTATAAAACATGCTGGAAAGTCCTTTACCTGAACTAGCAGGTGCTTTTTGTTTTAGTACAGAACTCAGAGTTTGGGCCCTGAAGCGAGTGAACTTAAAGGGCACTGGACTTCTGGACCTGAAAAGGCAAATGATTGTTTAAAAAGAAATTAAAAGGCATCCCTCGAGCCTACTACTTCCATTTCTTAACCTTATTTTAAAACTTATTACAGAGTGAACGTTCTTTGAAATCTATAGGCTGGGCCTGGGTCACAGAGAGCTGGGGAGCCTACTCTAGGGCTGGGCAACTGAGGAGGAGCAGGACAGCATGGTGAGGGGGACAGCGCCCCTCTCCAGGGGCTTCACTTACAGCCAGGCCCACCCACGCCCAGTGACTGGAACAGGTTGGAACCTGATTCCTGGCCTCTGGAAGTCTTCCGCTGTTCCCAAATGGGAAAGCCCACTGAAGCTCTCACTCTCGAGATTCTGCCCTTCAGCCTGGAGGCAGCCTGCAAGGTTATACTCACATCTCCAAGTTCCAGCTTTGGCTCTGGGTGTTGAAATATCCCCAGCTCGCGGCATTCTGGTCGGACATCAGGGGTCTTCGCAAGCCACACAGCATGGCAACCACATAGTCACTGATGGTGCCAGCTGCATCATAGAACTTCAGGAACTCTGGGCTGTTTTTCATACCAAAAACAAGTCAATGTGGTCT